AGCCACAAAGAATTCAAAGAAATTTATGGAAATGTTTTGAACGTTCGTAAGTGTCAACGATGGTTCAGAAAATTTCGTTCAGGTGACTTTAGCCTTAAAAACTGTGATGGCCGGGGCCGACATGTTGGAATTGATATTGATGCTCTGAAGACGCTTGTTGAGTCTTACCCAAGGCAACACACTCGTGAAATGGCCCTGAAATTACATGTCTCTCATGAAACAATAAGTAAACATCTAAGGAATATGATAAAAATCCATAAAGAAGGTGTTTGGATGCCTTACGAACTCTCGGATGATCATCATTTCACATGTGTGAACGTTGCTTCGTCTCTTCTGGCGCGTAATGCGCGTGAACTATTTTTGTACAGAATTGTCACCGGTGATGAAAAATGGATTCTCTATGCGAATATTAAACGCCAAAAACAATGGCTCAGTCCTAGAAAAAAACCATTTCCGACCCCAAAACCTGGACTCCATCCGCAGAAAGTGATGTTTTGCATTCGGTGGGACATCAAAGGAGTAATTCATTTCGAACTCCTCAATCCACAGCGTTCTGTCAATGCAGAGATCTATAGTCAGCAACTGGAACGTTTAAATCAAGCCCTTCATCAGAAACGCCCTTCACTCTTCAACCGGAAAAGTGTTCTTCTTCTCCAAGACAATGCACATCCACATGTGGCCCGTTTGACGCAACACAAGATTATGGAGTTGGGTTGGAAAGTTCTCCACACCCACCATATTCTCCAGATATGGCACCATCAGATTACCATCTTTTTCGTTCGCTGCAACAACATCTTAATGGGAAAACGTATGCAAATGTGGAAGGTGTTAAAGATGGCATCATCATGTTTTTTGCTTCAAAGCCAAGAGATTTCTTTAATCAGGGCATTAACAATCTGATTGTAAGATGGAAAAGCATCATCGATAAGAATGGAGGCTATTTCATTTAATAAATGTTTTGTTTTGATATATAAGTTGTTCGGGTTTTTTCATCTTAAAAAAGCGACATTAGTTTCTTGACGACCTTGTATCGAGGCAATAAGGCCAAGAAGGGGATATTGTTGATAACGATAGTTGTTTGGGTAATGGAAGTGTTTTTGTTTATATTAATTTATTGTTAATGTTTATCAGTATTAGAGATGAGTAAGAGATTCGGGTATAGTAATAGAGGTTAATGTTTTAATGTTAATTAAAATCGAAGTTATTAATAATATATTTATTTGAAGAAGTGAAAAATAATGAGTCATTTTGGTAAAAATCTTAAAAAGGTGGTTAACTTTTTTGTTTTTATTTGCAGAGATTTGATTGATGTGAAATATGTTAGAGGAGATAAAACAGGAGATGATTGAGGAAATATTAATAGTATAAATCAATAGGTAAAATATTCATAGTGTTTTTGAAATTAATGTGGGGGATAATATTCATGCTATATGAGAGATTGATGAGAAAGCTAAGATGTTTCGTAAATATATTTGGTTTAGGTCCCCTAGAGATCTTCTAATAGCAGAAAGAGTTACAATGATAATAATACATTTTTTGGAAAAATTGAGATAATAAAAAGGGGCAATTTTTTGTCATGATATTAAAATTAAACAGTTTGTTCACGAAAGCCCTTCTGATATTATTGGTAATCATATATGAAAGGGGCAGCACCTAGTTTAACTCTGAGTGATAAAATAACTATATAAGGAATTATTCAGGAAATTGTGATAGTAAATTGGAAGATAGAGAAGATGGATGACTGGTTTGTTTGTTTTTGAATTTCGCGCAAAGCTACACGAGGGATATCTGCGCTAGCCGTCCCTAATTTAGCAGTGTAAGACTAGAGGGAAGGCAGCTATTCATCACCACCCACCGCCAACTCTTGCGCTACTCTTTTACCAAAGAATAGTGGGATTGACGGCCACATTATAACGCCCCCACGGCTGAAAGGGCGAGCATGTTTGGTGTGACGGGGATTCGAACCCGCGACTCTCGGATTGCGAGTCGAGCGCCCAACCACCTGGCCATGCCGGGCCGAAGGTGGGTGATAAAATAAAATAAAATAGGAATACGGAGGAGGCAGTTGATCGAACAAGAAAATATTTTAATGATGCTTCTGAGGCGCGTTTGTTTGAGTGGGAAGAGATTAGTGGGATAAAGTCTATTAAGTTTATTTCTATTTCCATTCCAAGCTATAAGTCAGGAAGAGGATCTTATTGTAATTATTGTCCCTAGGAATAGAGCTAAAGAAAATTTATTAATAATAGGAGGAGTTAAAATTAGAAGAGAGAAGATTACAACTTCTATCAGTTGGTTATGAACCCGAGAAGATTACAACTTCTACCAGTAGGTTATGAACCCGAGAAGATTACAACTTCTACCAGTAGGTTATGAACCCGAGAAGATTACAACTTCTACCAGTAGGTTATGAACCCGAAGAGATTACAACTTCTACCAGTGGGTTATGAGCCCGATAGCTTAAATTAGCTTAATATTTGGTGTATGGCATGTTGAATTTTGATATCAGAAGAGATGGATCATACCATCAAAATTAGGTGAAGATAGGATTGGCCTATTCTATTTATTCGATCAAAATAACCCTTTACTCGGGCATTTCACCATTTTGTATGTAGAGTCATTACACTAAATACTTTTGCAAAGGAAATATTACATTTATTTTCTAATCAAAGATGACAAATTATTATATCTTAAATTGGTTATTGAAGTAAAATAAATTAGGATCCTAATTAGCATTTAAATCATAACATAAACCCCAGAAAATAAGTAAATTATAAAAATATATCTAGACAATTTAAGCATAATGGGGTGTATACATCTATAAATTATTATTATAAATAGAAATTTGTACTTGGAAATAGCTTCTTAGAAATTCATAGTATTATAAATGCATATAAATTGTTAAATATTATTTCTACTTGAGAAAAAAAAAGTAGAAATAATAAGATTATAACGTATACTAAATTTGATTTTGGTTTCTTCTTAACTATATGGACAATATTGACATAATTAGATATCTCGAATAATAAAATTATTTTTTTTTGTAATATTTAATTCTAAGTAACTTATTGCCCCCCAGTGGCACAGCGGTATGTCTTCGGACTTATAATGCTAGAATCCGGGTTTCGATACCCGTGGTGGGCAGAGCACAGATAGCCCATTGTGTAGCTTTGTGCTTAATTCCAAACAAACAAAGCTTTAGCACACAAAGACGATATTTGCACAAATTACATCATTTTCCGTTATTATTATTATTGGATAGCCCATTGTGTAGCTTTGTGCTTGATTACAAACAAACTTTAGTTAAGTTTTTGATTTAAAAAAATATTAATTTGTGTATTAGATTTATTATATTCATCTTAGGGGGCAAAAAAACAAAATGTGGATTTAAATCAAAATTGTGCATATGATTCATAATAACATAATCTGTATGAGTGTGTAACGAGCAGCCGTTAATAATTTGGACTGTCAATGGATTATTATAAATTCAATGACATTTAATGCCGATAATAGTCGAGACATTGAAAGTGTATTCGCAAAAGTCTTCAAAATGTCATCTGTTCGTCAACATAAAATTTAGTTTAAAATCGACCCTTCAACAAATTAGCTCCATTGCATGCGCATCTCTTAATCCATCAGGATATCAGCTATGACAGAAAGTTCATATACAACTTGAGTTATGCAATTATTATTCGATTTTAGCTCTGTTATTAGTCTGCCATTGTTTTAGGGATAGAATATATAATAAAGAAAGATAGACAGATAGCTCTTCTGTACTTTTTCTTTCTCTCTTAAAAGGAACTTGGGAGTTAAATACATAGCAAGCCCGTAGCCGGGGGGAGGGGTTCGGTTGTACGAACGAAACCCTCTACTCCTGCTGGAGTTCCGCTCGCCTATTGACATTTGTTATTTTTCCTGTCTTTTATGATGGCCTCTTATTATATAATTGCTTTTGTAACGCTGTTCATACATGTGGAAATAGCATTTTCATACGTATCAGAGGAAATTTACTAGAAATGTTTATTTGTAGTAATAATAAAAGAACTGTTACATATTTCGGAATATTTTTTCGGTCCTGGCACTAAAGTTACGCCCCCCCAGTGGCACAGCGGCATGTCTGCGGACTTACAACGCTAGAATCCGGGTTTCGATACCCGTGGTTGGCAGAGCACAGATAGCCCATCGTGTAGCTTTGTGCTTAATTACAAACAAACAAACTAAAGTTACACATGAAACGAGTTCCACTTTGGACCAAAAAAGAACCTCCCACTTCCAGACCTGGCTACGGGTTTGCATGGATGCTTGAAAATTAATCAGTTTCCCTTCACCATGCTCGTTATATGGGGTATTATTGAAATAATTTTTAAAACAATTAAAATATCGTATGCAATGACATGCGCGTGTATACATAAAAGTACACGTACGCACGAGAGAGTGAGAAAAAAAAACTGTTTAAAAGTGATGCGCGAGATATTGGCTAATTATGTTTGGACTGACAAAGATTATATCCACTAGTGGGGATAAGAAGCAAGACAATCTCAACAACCAAACAGCGAACTTTGTAAATCCAGTGTCGCAGTTTTAGATTAGGTGGGGGAACGGAAGTACACTGAGAAAAACCTACTTTCATTGGTGGTCAGGTGCTGAAACTTCTTCCCGACGAGTACCCGAACTGAATCCTAAAGTGGAAGAGAAAATTTCATTAGTAAATGCATATATGAATGAAATACTTCAGTTATCAGCCAAACTGGGAAAAGAAAGTGAAGTTTTTCTCCGTCTCTAGCTTAACATATTTCTTATTATGCGCACGCCCCCTGCCGAGTACCCTGTAAATCAATCGTAAATAACGACTCGAGAACAGTAAACATGTCAGTTTGGCGGGAATAAGTTTGCTTTTGATGCAGGCTGAGTCTTCTTTAGTGAACACAAAAAGTATGTTAGATCTCGAAACGTGTAATACGAAAACACTTAACATCACGTAAGTTTGACTTTGATGCACTTTTTTTTTAAAAAAAAGCTTACATTTCGTATTTGTTTTATGGAATAACTTAAATATTTTTATTTTCTTCTAAGAAGAGTAGAACCACTGGCCATAGTGGTTTTTAGATTTACCTTTGTTTTCAATAGATGATTTTGTGGAACTTACTTTTTTTTCCTCTGTCAAATTTCAATAAAAGACTAAGTTTATTTTTTTAAAACATAGAAATCTGAAGAGCCTAGTTAATATATACCCTTTTTATATTTCAAAGATTGGGTTAATTGAATTTATATTTTATCATTATTCCATTTCAAAAGTTTATAAAGGTTGTTACGTTATTGTGCGCATGGCCTGGTGGTTATGGTGCTGGACTAACAATCTGTGAGTCGCGGGTTCGAATTTTTGTCGCCGACCATGCTCGTCCTTTTAGCTGTGGGGGCGTTATAAATGAGGGTCAATCCCACTATTCATTGGTGAAAGAGTAGCCCACGACTTGGCGGTGGGTGTATCACTGCTACATTAGAGACGGCTTGCGTAGATAGCCCTCGCGTAACTTTACGCCAAACTTAATTTTGCACAAGCAATATCTAATTGTCACATTTCAACTAGGGCTTAACAGATGGAAATATATTTTACATATCAAAGAGTTCCTTAGATCAAGTTGATATTTTGTACATCGTCTTGGTATAATTACTAAGAATGTAGAGTTAATTAATCAAGAAAAGTTTGATATTGTACCAGTGTTTGTTCGTTTGTTTTAGAGCGAAGCCACATTGGGCTATCTGTTGTGTACACCGCGGAGAATCGAACTCCGGATTTTAGCATTGTAAGCCCTTAAACTTACTGCTGTCCCACCGGGAGACGTGTACTAGTGAACTCCTGCTCTCACACCGGTAAAAAATAATTCTTACAACGTCGTAATGAAAATCGAAAACAATAAAAAGTATTATTTTTTACCTTCTCCCTATATAACATAGATACAAAATGAATTACCCTCATTAAGATAACATTAAAAAGTGTGGACTTCAATATATATTATTTGCAATTAACGAGGGTTTCAGGATAACGGAGTATCGTGATAATTTACTTAAGCAAACAGTGATTGGGAGGACGAAAATAATAAATTATTTTATGCATTTACGGTGACTTACCTCTGTTTAGTAAATTATAATTAGGCAACACGTACAGTAACTGTTTTTCGAATTTAAATTAGGAACTTGTAGGAGCTTATGATGAAAACAAGGGATTCCTCGGTTTTGGAGGGCAAAGTGACTTCTATTACAATGTTCATATGGATGTGTCTCAGTATATTTAAACAAGAGAACTGTCATTCTAATGTATTTAACATGGGGGAATTTAGCTAATTATATTTAATGTATATATTATTTTCAACTATAATTCCAAGTGAAGCTTTTTTTTTTAGCTTTGAGTAAAACTAATACTTAAAAATTGTGGTAAAAACTAAATCTTCCCACTTTGTATTTTAAAGTACTAGATGCAATTGCGCATGGTCCCCGAAAGTGTTCTGTTTCAAGAGTAAATAAAGCCAAAATTAATGGTCACAAATATTTTTATTTCTTGCTTTTAAAATTCGTGTGTCATGCCTACAGAGTGCATAATTCTTCTCGTGATTCACAGTATGCGCATGTTTTACTGACGTCACAACAGTACAGGTTGCAACGTTAAGCGTCCCTTATGTGACGTCATTTTAGTGTCTACTGACTGATAATACACTATTGTATCGAAGTGCGACTGGTTAAAACAGGTGACCCCTGCAGGCGGCCTTCGGTCCTCTTTCGGGGAAATAATACACTGAACACAATTTTCAAATTCGATGA